TCTTACCCCCTCGTGACGTCCTTACTGCGCGGTGGCCGATGTGGTAGATGAGAAAACTCAGATGCTAAATGGTCCGTCCTGTCATGTGGCTCTGGGGGCTGGGGGGGGAGACTGCGTGGCCAGGATTCACACCTGGGTCTTTCCCACTCCAGAGTCACCTGCAAACCGCCCTGTGATGTGCCCCGTGCCAGGATTCATGTGGGCCCGAATCTGCAAGCTTAGTGGCATCTCAGAGGCCAGGCCATGTGTCCGATGTTCGACCCGGACAGCTTCTGGGAGGGCGGCAAGGGGGCATCCACAGGCGGCTGGGGAGTCCCCACCAGTCACACCATTCAGCAGTTCCCCCAAGTTGAAGCAGCCATTCTGATGGGACAGGTCATGACAGGACAGTCACCGTCCTCACGCGGGGGCCACGGAGGGTGGGCTGTGGGCAGACAGATGCAGCCGCCATCAGGAAGCTTCTGGGGGCCAAGCTCAAGTGGAGTCAGCGATGGGGAACACAAGAGCAGGGGAGCCAGGGAGGGGGGAAACCAGAGTTCTTGGACACCATTCAACCAAGAGTCGTGATCCTCCCCAGGCGGGCTTGGGGTCACACACAGGGACGGTCCATGCCTACGTTTTTTTTTTTTTTTTAGATTTTATTTATTTATTTGAGAGAGAGAGAATGAGAGATAGCACGAGAGGGAAGAGGGTCAGAGGGAGAAGCAGACTCCCTGCCGAGCAGGTATCCTGATGCGGGACTCGATCCAGGGACTCCAGGATCATGACCTGAGCCGAAGGCAGTCGCTTAACCAACTGAGCCACCCAGGCGCCCCCCATGCCTACGTTTTAAATGATCAAATCAGTGAAGAAAATCTGGAAGAAATGGGGAAGAAAACTAAACCCTCCCTGCTCAGGAATGTGCACCACATTCGCCCCAGAGCCCATGATCTAGGGAAACTAAGTCAGGGGAGATGTTCCTGATGCGGTGGGTGTGGCACAGGACCGGCTGCAGCCCACTGCCGTGTCCCCTTGGGGCCCCACACCTGGGCCTGCTGCCTGCTGGCCTCTGGGCACCCCGAGAGCAGCAGGGGCACTGGCCCTCTCCAGCCATGTCATTTCAGAAAGTCCCATTTTCCTGAGCTTCACCTTCTTCTATGAGAGGAGCATAATAAAGTCTGCCCGAGCAGGTCTGAGCATCTCAGTTACGCCGTCTTATAGCTGGATCTCTCTGGGGAGCAAGCCAGCTGTAGTGGGTGGATTTTTCTCCCGCCCCTCTGTTCTCATCTTCATCCACAGTTTTTCTCTCGGAGATCTCCGGGGGCAGATGACTCAGAGCCACATCTTCAGGGCCCACAGGGCTAGAGTCCCCACGTGGGAACCCCCACATCCCGTAGCCCTTGGTGGTCACCTTCCTGAGTTGGGTTCCCAGCCTGCCTGCCCATGAGGCTTTCTGTGTGTGTCTTCATGAGCTAGTAGTTGGTGCCCGGGAATGCTCAATCAGGTCATGCAATTGCTCACCAGGGAATTGCATTGTTCTTTCTGGTTCTTGAAGTCCTATTGCTTAGCACTGAGGCCCTTACTGCTCACAAGGCTGCCCAAAGAATTGGGATCAATGGGATCACCCACAGGTCTGAGCTGTCCGGCACATGCTGATGTGACACCAGGTCACAGGATGGGGGCTGCGGTCGTGGTCCTGGAGCAAGATCCTTGGTTCTAGAATTGTAGCAGAGCCCCCGCTTCCCAGACCTGGACCCACCTTGACACATAGGTTGACCTCGGACCCATAAAGATCATGAGTAGACAGGTGGATCCAGAGTTGGATCCAGGGATTGAGAAGGAGTGGACATTTCCTCTCCATGACATCATAGAATACACTCCATGCCTCAGTTCCTTAACCAGGGACACTTCCTTCTTGACTGTATCGTCTGCTGGGGACCAACAAAGAGAGGACCAGATCTGAGGGCTCACCACAGTGAGGGTGAACCCAGCTGTGCCCACACATGAGTCTGGGCAAGTTGCTGGATGTCCCTGAGGCTGCCGCTCTGCTGTCAAATGGGGAAAGCAGATTTTACGGGACAGTCTGGTGCTGGAGAGGGAGTCAGGGATGTCTGTGAACTCTGCTTCGTTGAATCCTGCTAGCTTTTGGGAAGCCCCAGGTGCCTTGGTCTGTTGAGCTTGGCTGTTCCTGCTTTGCAGAAGGGAAGAGAAGAATCACAGGGCAAGAGCATCAGAGGAGGAAGGAGGTAGTCCCCAGCAGCTGGCCTGTGGGGACGAGGATGCCACGTGGACCCCAAGGAACCTTATCCCACTGTTAAAACAAGTGCTTAAAACAAGGTTGGGCTCCTGGTCATGGCCTCTGCTAAGGGTGGAGTTGATGTGGGACCACCCCAGGAGAGTTGGGTATCATGCCCTACTGTCTGCCCTTCCCAGAGTCCCTGGTCCATGAAGCCTCCTGTTTATCTAACTCTGCTCAGGATGAGAAAGAGGTTAAAAGGTGCTAAGGACTGAAGCTTTGTGTTCCCTCAAATTCAAATGTTGAAGCCCTAATCCCCAATGTCATGGTATTGGGAGGGGGGGCCTTTGGCGGGTAGTTCGGGTGTTGGGCAGTTGGGTAGTCAGGTCATGGGTGCGGAGCCCCCATAATAGGATTAGTGACCTTGTAAGAGAGGTGATCTCTCTCTCTGACGTGTGAGGACACATCGAGAAGCCGCCCCTCATCATGTGATCTGTCAGCACCTTGATCTTGGACTTGCAGCCTCTAGAACTTTGAGAAGTCAGTGTTGTTTAATGCCCAGTCTATGGTATTCTGTTATAGCAGCCTGAGCCAAGACAAAAGGTAAGAAACCTGCACCCAGTGTGGAGCCCAACACAGGCTCAATCTCACAACCCTCAGATCATGACCGGAGCCAAAATCAAGAGTCCGACACTCAACTGACTGAGCCACCCCGTTGCCCCAAGGAGCTAAACTTTTTTTTTTTTTTTAAAGATTTTATTTATTTATTTGAGAGAGAGAATGAGAGAGAGAGAGCACATGAGAGGGGGGAGGGTCAGAGGTAGAAGCAGACTCCCTGCCGAGCAGGGAGCCTGATGCGGAACTCGATCCCGGGACTCCAGGATCATGACCTGAGCCGAAGGTGGTCGCTTAACCAACTGAGCCACCCAGGCACCCCAAGGAGCTAAACTTTTAAGAAGCTGGAATGCTTGGAAGCCGGTAAGAGATACCATGAAGTAGGTACCACAGGCTTAAACACCGGAGGGTTGCAGGAAGTGGGGAAAAACCGAATCTGGAGGTGGGGCAGCTCTGATGTGTCTTTGTGGCTGGAGGCCCACGGAGAGCCATGCTGGAAGACGTGGGTGGGTGGACACCTACCTGTGGGGAGCCTGGAAGGATCTATATGGGCTCCCTTTGGGGTACAGTGTGTGATACAGAGGCAGAGAGGAAAAGTGAAAAACCCTGATGGAATAGAGCAAAGTTGGGGCTCTAATCCAGCTTCTGGTGACACTCGTTTTGTCCTTGAGCATTTACTCAACACCTCGTCGGGACCAGACAAGAGGAGACCATGGAATCTATCATCTAAATGGAGACATTAGGATGCGAGGGGGACGCTACCAGTGTTGATGCTGGGCTAACAGCTTTAAATCGGGTGTTCTCCTGGGGCATGCAGGCAACGTGCTCTGGAGCCGGGAAGCCTTTTCAGACCTGCTGCCCGCTCTACTTGCTGTGGTCACAAAGGCAGGGGTGAGGCAGAGGTGAGGAGCACCGTGGGGGAAGGGCAGAGGTAACTGGCAGAAAAGCTTGCAGGGTATCAGGGAGGAGGGCTTGACCATAGCAGACACATGTCAGGAGCAGGGTCTTGAGGGCAGGGTTGGGTTGCCTGCTGACAGGTGGCAGGTGGGGGGTGCATTTCTTGCAGGGGGATCACAGGAGGAATGAGCATGTGCCATGCGCTCTCATCCTGCAACCTGGTGCTGGTTCCATAGTGATGTGGGAAACAGGTGTAGGGAGGGGACGTAGGCCACGGGGAGCCTTCTAGGCTGAGGAGTTTAGATTTAGTGCTGGAGGAATAGGGGAGCCTAGAATGAGAGGCATGTAATCGAGTTGCTCCATTAGCTGCTCCATCTTCTTGGACCTGTTTCCTCATCTGGAAAATGGCATCTCTCCAGCACTCAGGTTTAGTGAGAACAACCAAGAACAGTTGTGAAAACACTGTGGAAAGACTATAGCGTGATCCAGAAGGCTATCTTGGTCCCTGTTCCACAGCTCAAAACCCAAGGCTTGAGCGCAGCTGGAAATGCAGGACATAACACAATTTCAACAAAGAGTCAATTTAGTATAAAATTGATCCCTTCCCTCAGGAGAAAAAGGAACCAGCGATGGGGTGCCCTCGACTGGACAACCTTTCTCATCCTCAAGGCCCACTTCTGGGCCCAATGCCTCTGCTCCTCTCTTGCTCTGGCTGGGGAGCAAGGTGGCTCTGGGAAATGCAGCACTGAGTTGTGTGCAAAGACCAGGGGGTCAGAGGCTGGAAAAACCCATATTTTTGCATGACCACCCATGTTTCACACTGTCCCCCTGGTTCCTCCAACACGCTGGGCAAATTCTGCCACAGGGCCTTTGCACTTGCTCTTTCCCTAGCCAGTTATGCATCCACCCATGGTCTGCTCTCTCATTTCCTTCAGGGTTTTACTCAAACATCACTGTATCACTGAGGACTCTCTTCATCACCCTATTTCACTCTACATCCCTTTTCTTGATTTTCTCCTACACACTATCAGCTTCTAAATATACTCAATATTTTGCTTACCTATGTTGCTCATGGTCTGTCTCCTCCCCTGTAAAGTAAACTCCACGAGGACAGGCATTCTTGTCTGTTTTGCTTTCTGCTGCCCAGAGGAGTGTAGCAGGCAGTCATGAATATTTACTCATCGAATGACCAAATCTCTCCTTTCTACTCTGGAATAAGGGCATCCAAACAGACTGTGGCATAAAGTCATGAAATTCACACAATGGCTACAGTTTCATTTTCTTTTATTTGTGGCACTAAAAGACACATAGAGACATGTGGTTTAAGAGAGATAGGCTGATGCTCTTGCCAGTCTGGGAAGGTGAGCATCTAGCATCAGACAATGCAGAGTAAAGTTTCCATTCTATGTGACGCCTTGATCTGAAACACTTGTGAAATGTTAAAATGATCTCACTATATTTGTTGTTCCATTAAGATAGAGATTTTATTTCATGAACTCCTCTTGATTTCTATTCATCTCTTAAAGATCTCTTTTCAATGTAACAAAAGGCTTTACAGAGAGAAGTGAAAAACTAGCACTGTGTCTAAACATTATAAATACCAGTGGCAGAATACCGGGTGCTAAGAAAAGCCTTCCATATGATACAGGGGTGCCACTGATCCATAGGGTAAACACGCCCAGACTGAACCCAAACCATGAAATACCAGCACAGTTTTGATCTGATCATGGCGACACACAAGACATCCACCCAGTGTCCCTGCTCTTGGCCCCGTGCAGGATTTCGGAAGGTTCTCAGGGCAGTCATCGGGCTCCATACACAGCCCTCCTGGGACGGAGCGGGAAGGGCTCATTTTACTTCCCAGCCCATGGGGATGCCTGCAAAGTGGGGCACTCACCGTCCACACCAATGACTTTCTGATCTCTGTCACTGTCACCCTCGGAGAATCAGAAACGCCTGTCCAGACATCAGGTGTGATCATATTGTGGGTGATAACCATTGATTTTCTAAAAGCTTAGTTGGTCAGATCATGGTCTGTGACGCTCTGTGAGGTTGTAACCCCACATTTTTGTAGGATAAAAATCCAATGGTTTCATTATGCAACAGTCATCTTCTGCTCCTTTCTTACTACCAAAACATCACAGAGTGTATTACATTCAGATTGTTTCAAGTGGTTTATACATATTTCCTTAGAATTCAAAAGATTTCGAATAGCTAAATGGTCTTAACCATCTCTATGTGGTAAAATCTCAAAAGTCCAGAATCAGTCTAAGGTCACCATAATTCAGTGTAGTGTTGGACTCCAGCACTCATATCCCCATTAACCTGCCAACAAGAATAGTTTATTGGCAACTTTAAATATTCAGAGGCAAACATGTTTCCTTGGCACACAACAAGCTGCACGGCTGAGCAGCATCTCGCCCTCCCTTGGAAACATTTTGCAGGACTGAAAATCAATTGTGTGAGTTTGGCCTGTAGACAAGAAAGTGCACCAAATTCTGATGCCCCCTGCCACGCGGCGTCCTCCAGTGGTGACTGTGGATGGCTCACAGGTGGGTTTCTGCCACAATCTGATCTTCTCAATGATTTACACGAGCAAGGGCACCTGCAGTAGAGAGAGAACCACAGTTACTTGGGGGATCTGGATGAGCCAATGGGGTTGACCCAGGGCGCACAGATCCGGGTGCTAAGGAGCTCAGTGCAAGAACATCCTTGCCATTACTCTTCCCGCACGGGTTTCTACATCGATACCTATTCTACTCACTGCCCCAAGGAGAACATTTCTGGAACACAAACATGCTTAAACACTTCCAGTGACTTGCTCCTGCCAGTTCTTTTTCAGGAAAGAAAGTATGAACCCACTGGAGGGCTATGGTACCTCTGCCAGAGCCGTCAGCTGCCCCCAGGCCCCAGGGCTCCCTGAGCCCCTCCTAGCTTCTGGGATCTGCTGGGGTCTTTCCCTCCTCTGGACACGTTTTGCATGTGGGGTTTCTCTGTTAGGGATGCGCCTTTCCAGCTGGAAAGCTTTGAGTCCTTCGGGAACAGGTGTTCATACTATCTCCAAAGAGAGGCTCTCCTGACCCCAGTCCTTGTCAGGGCTGATGCAATCACCCCTCGTTCTGTCAGCTACCCCAGTCTGCTCCTGTGTCCCAGACTCCCTGCTCCCTCACTTTTGCAGAGAGGCTCCCTGAGGATGAACCGTGGGACTCTCACTCCCTCCTCTGGGCACAGAACTTACTGAGTACTCAGTATTTATGGCATGAATGAGTGAATGCACAAGCTCAAACTTTCACTCTTAGCTTCGCCCTGCATCCTCCTGTCCAACTGTAGAAAGCCTGATTTGTACAGTTTCGAAGGAGATATTTCAATGGCTTTAAAGGCTAAGATTAGGGGCACCTGGGTGGCTCAGTCGGTTGAGCGTCTGACGCTTGATTTTGGCTCACGTTATGATCTCAGGGTTGTGAGATTGAGCCCCGTGTCAGGTTCTGCGCTCAGCGTGGAGTCTGCTTAAGATTCTCCCTTTCCCTCTACCCCTCCCCCGACTCGAGGGCATGCTCTCTCTCAAATAAATAAATCTTTAAAAAAAAATAAAGGCTAAGGTTAAACACTTTCCAGTTTGAGGGAACTACAAATAAAACTGCTATGAATATTGCACGTGAATACAAGTCTTTGTATTTACGTATGTTTCATTTCTCTTGGGTAAATACCTAGGAGCAGGATGGCTGGACCACATGGTAGGTGCAGCTGTAACTCTTGAAGAAAGTGCCAAACTACATTTCAAAGTAGTTGCACCATTTTACATTCCCACTAATAGGTCTTGAGAGTTCCAGTTGCTCTACATCTTGTCGATATCCTGTACTGTCATTTTCTACTAAAATTGTAGCCATATTAGTAGGTATGTAGTGGGAATCTTGTGGTTTTAACTTGTGTTTCAATAATGATCAATATGTGGAGCTTCTTTTCATATGCTTATTTGCATCTGTATATCTTCTTTAAGTGTTTATTCAAATATCTTGCCCATTTATTGACTTGTTTGCTTTCTTACATTTTCTTTATGAATTCTAAATATATGTCCTTTATCAAATAAATGCCTTGCCAATACGTAGTCATAGTATGAGGCTTGTATTTTCATTCTCTTAATGGTATGCTCTTGTGAAGGGCAGAAGGTTTTAACTTTGATGAAATCCAATTTATGTTTGCCCTTTTTATGGATTGTGCTTTTGGTTTCAAATCCAAGACATTTTTGCCTAAGCCAAGGTCACAAAGATTTTCTCCTATGTTTTCATCTAGAAATGTTATAGTTTTCAGTTTCAGATTTAGATATATAATTAATTTTGAGTTACATTACCTTATGCGATGTATGGATCAAAGTTAATTATCATGCATAGGAATATCCAATGGTTGCAATGCCATTTTTTTTTTCAAGATTTTATTTATTTATTTGAGACAGAGAGAATGAGAGACAGAGAGCATGAGAGGGAGGAGGGTCAGAGGGAGAAGCACACTCCCCGCTGAGCAGGGAGCCCGATGCGGGACTCGATCCCGGGACTCCAGGATCATGACCTGAGCCGAAGGCAGTCGCTTAACCAACTGAGCCACCCAGGCGCCCTGCAATGCCATTTTTGAAAAACAAAAACAAAAACAAAAACAAAAACAAACTGTCCTTTCTCCACTGAATTGCCTCTATACCTTTGTCAAAAATCAGTGCTCTAAATACATGGGTCTATTTGTGGGCTCTCTATTCTCTTCCATTGACCTATTTGATGTCAGTTACCAGACTGTCTCAATTACTCTGGCATTATTATAAGTATTGAATTGAAGAAGTAGTAGTCCACCGACTTGAATCTTTTTCTAGGTCTTTGCATTATTATTGCAATTTTAGACACAGCCTGTCAATTTCTACAAAAAGCCTACTGGGATATTGACTGGGGTTACACTGAATTTACAGTTCAATCTGGGGAGCATAGCCATACTGAGTTTTCAAAATAGGAGCTATCCACCTATTTATTTAGGTTTCTTGAAATTCTCTCAGCAATGCTTTGTGGTGTGTACATCTTTGGTCAAATTCATCCCTAAGTATTAATATTTGTGATGTTCTTGAAAATTATTATTTTAAAAAATCCAATTTCTGATTGTTCACTACTAATACTTAGAAATACAGCTGTATTTGTAATGCTGCTGTATCCTATAACATTGTCAGACTTACTTAAAAAACTTAGAATCTATCTATAGTTCCCATTGGGTTTTCTAACCTAGACCATCACATGGTTTGTAAAAAGAGCTTTATTCTTTTCTTCGCAATAGAGATGCATTCCTTCCCCTCTTCCTTCCTTCCTACCTTCCTTCCTTCCCTCCCTCCCTTGCCTACTTACAATGGTTAGCACCTCCAGTACAATGCTGAATAGAATGCAGACATTCTTGCTTTGTTTCTGATTCTAGGGGAAAGTATTTGCTCTTCCATCATTATCTAAGATGTTGGCTGTGGGTTTTCCATTGATGCCTTTTATCAGTTTTTTCTTTTCCTACTTTACAGAAGTTTTTATCAGAAATGGATATTGAATTGCCAAATTCTTTTAATGTATCTATTGAGATTATCAGGGTTTTTCTCTTTTTTAGTTTGTTAATATGAGGACTTTTTTCTCAAATATCAAACCAACCTTGCATTGTTGAGCTAAACCCCACTTGAACATGATGTTACTCTTTTTACATATAGTTGGATTTGATTTGCTAAATTTCAATTTAGGTGTTTTGTTTTTTTGTTTTTTTTTTTTTTTTCATCTATATTCGTGAGGACTATTGCTCTATAATTTTCTTTCCTTCTGGTATCTTTATCTGGTTTTGGTATCAAGGTAATATTATCTTTGTAGAACGAGTTGGGGAGTCATCGCTCCGCCTCAGGAAATTCTGAACAAAATTTCTAGAAAATTTGGATGTGCTGCTTGGTGAATGTTGTATGTTTGATAGAACTCACCAGTGAAGTCACCGGGAATGAGTGGCAGTGCTTTGTTTTTTTGGGTGTGTACGGGTGGGGGAAGATTTCTCACTTGTAATTAAATTTCTTTAATAGATACAGGGCTACTTGGGTTATCTATTTCCTTTTGAGTGAGCTTTGATAGTTTGGGTCTTTCAAAGATTTCATCTATTGCATAAAGTTGTTCATAATGTTGCCTTATTATCCTTTTACTATCTGTAGAATCTGTAGTGATATTACGTCCCTCTTTCTGGATCCTGATAAATTGTCTTCTTTCTTTTTCCTGATAAGTCTGGCTAGAGGTTGATCACCTTTATTGGTCTTATGAAAGAGTAAGCGTTGGTTTAATTGATTTTGCTTTATTCTTTTTTCTTTTTTATTTCACTGATTTCTGCTCTGACCTTTATGATTTATTTTCTTCTGCTCACTCCAGGTTTAATTTTTACTCTTCTTTTTCTAGTTTCTTAAAGTGGAAGTGAGGACATTCATCTGTGGTCTTTCTTCTTCTTTTTTTTTAAGATTTTATTTATTTATTTGACAGAGAGAGGTATAGCGAAAGGGGGAACACAAGCAGGGGGAGTGGGAGAGGGAGAAGCAGGCTTCCCGCTGAGCAGGGAGCCCGATGCGGGGCTCCATCCCAGAACCCTGGGATCATGACCTGAGCTGAAGGCAGATGCTCAACGACTGAGCCACCCAGGCGCCCTATGTAGTCTTTCTTCTTTATGGAGATGTGGTGCTACATGGTTCTCCCCCAAGTACTGATTTTATAGCAGCAAACACACTGTATATTGTGTTTAAATTTACATTTGGTCCAAAATAGTTTGCAATTCCCCTTTTGAGTTTTTTTTCTTTGACCCATGGGTGATTAAGAGTTGTATTATTTAGTTTTCAAGTATTTGGGATTTTCCAGAGATCATTTTGTTATTAATTTCTAATTTAATCCTGTTGTGGTCACAGAACATACACTGTAATATTTGGATTCTTTAAATATAATTATATTAACTGTTTCCATATCCTCATCTGCCAACTTTAACATCTGTGTCTATTTTAGAGAGGTTTTCGATTCATTTTCAGCATATAGTGTTTCATATCCTTCTGCCTCTTTGTGGCAATGGTAATATTTGATTGGATGCTGGATACTGTCAATTTTGCCTCATTGGGTGATGGATATTTTTGCATTCCTACAAATATTCTTGAGCTTTGTTCTGGGAGGCAGTTATGTGGAAACACTTTGATGGTTTCGGGCGTTGATGTGAAGATGTGCTGTGCAGTGTGAGAGCCACACAGAGTCTCCCAGTCTGGCTGTGTGAGCTCCAGGTGCTGTTCCTTCTTACACTACCATGTGGCTCTGTCCCAGCCTCACATGCATGTGCCCACCAGCACTGCACTGACTATTCCAGAGGAGGACCCTCTGCAGGCCTCCAGAATTCTCTCTCCATGCTGTAATCTGCTGTTCAGGACTCTGTGCTGCACACCTTAGCCTCCTCAGTGACCCCAGACTTTCAGCTCTGCTCCCCAACTCAGGGAGTCTGCTGGCCACTGATTTCCTCTGCTTGTATGATGGCCGGGAAGTTTCCTATCTTTCAGGGGTCCTGTTCCTTGTTGCCTGCTGTCTAGTGACTTCAAAAAAAACA